TAAACAAAGTCTGCACAGCTACAGAGGCCACCATTGCAGTAATTTCTTTATGACAGAAAAACTCCTCACCTGGTTATTTTGTGGAAAGCAAAGTTATAAAGGCAGGCCTTGAGTTGGGTGCTGATATGAATCAGGGCTGCTTTATCTATGTACAGATTTGCATATACAGGTGCTGGTCATAAAATTAGAATATCATGAAAAAGTAGATTGATTTCAGTAATTCCATTTAAAAAGTGAAACTTGTATATTATATTCATACATTACATACAAACTCATATATTTCAGATGTTTATTTTGTTTAATTTTGATGATTACAAATGACAACAAATGAAAATCTCAAATTCATCATATCAGAAAATTAGAATATTGTGAAAAGGTTCAAAATTGATGGCCCCTGGTGCCACACTCTAATCAGCTAATTAACTCAAACCACCTGCAAAAGCCTTTAAATGGTCTTTCAGTCTAGTTCTATAGGCTACACAATCATGGGGAAGACTGCTGACTTGACAGTTGTCCAAAAGACGACCATCGACACCTTGCACAAGGAGGGCAAGACACAAAAGGTCATCGCTAAAGAGGCTGGCTGTTCACAGAGCTCAGTGTCCAAGCACATTAATAGAGAGGCGAAGGGAAGGAAAAGATGTGGTCGAAAAAAGTGTACAAGCAAGAGAGAAAACCGCACCCTGGAGAGGATTGTGAAACAAAACCCATTCAAAAATGTGGGGGAGATTCACAAAGAGTGGACTGCAGCTGGAGTGAGTGCTTCAAGAACCACCACACACAGACGTATGAAAGACATGGGTTTCTGCTGTCGCATTCCTTGTGTCAAGCCACTCTTGAACCACAGACAGCGTCAGAAGCGTCTTGCCTGGGCTAAAGAGAAACAGGACTGGACTGCTGGTGAGTGGTCCAAAGTCATGTTCTCTGATGAAAGTAAATTTTGCATTTCCTTTGGAAATCAAGGTCCCAGAGTCTGGAGGAAAAGAAGAGAGGCACTTCATCCACGTTGCTTGAAGTCCAGTGTAAAGTTTCCACAGTCAGTGATGGTTTGGGGTGCCATGTCATCTGCTGGTGTTGGTTCATTGTGTTTTCTGAGGTCCAGGGTCAACGCAGCCACATACCAGGAAGTTTTAGAGCACTTCATGCTTCCTACAGCTGACCAACTTTTTGGAGATGCAGATTTCATTTTCCAACAGGACTTGGCACCTGCACACAGTGCCAAAGCTACCAGTACCTGGTTGAATGAAGGACCATGGTATCCCTGTTCTTAATTGGCCAGCAAACTCTCCTGACCTTAACCCCATAGAAAATCTATGGGGTATTGTGAAGAAGAAGATGCAATACACCAGACCCAACAATTCAGAAGAGCTAAAAGCCACTATTAGAGCAACCTGGGCTATCATAACACCTGAGCAGTGCCACAGACTGATCGACTCCATGCCACGCCGCATTGCTGCAGTAATACAGGCCAAAGGAGGCCCAACTAAATACTGAGTGCTGTACATGCTCATACTTTTCATGTTCATACTTTTCAGTTGGCCAACATTTCTATAAATCCTTTGTTTTTATTGGTCTTCAGTAATATTCTAATTTTCTGATATGATGAATTTGAGATTTTCATTTGTTGTCATTTGTAATCATCAAAATTAAACAAAATAAACATCTGAAATATATGAGTTTGTATGTAATGTATGAATATAATATACAAGTTTCACTTTTTAAATGGAATTACTGAAATCAATCTACTTTTTCATGATATTCTAATTTTATGACCAGCACCTGTATTAACAATGTAGCAGATGTTGAGAGATATAAGAGAACAAATAGTATTAAGATAGAAAAGCAGTACGTAATTTTTGGTCAAGAAAATTATTAAACAAGAGAAACTGAAAACCCAGTGGTCACACAGCCTACATAGTTAACATGTAGTGCTTCACTAAAACATTTATGCTCTTAAAAAAATAAAATCAACTGTCCATAGAAACCAAAAATTTGTTGTTTTAATGAATAAAAATTGGGGTGTGCATCTTCGCAGCATGATGCCGCCGAAGGTGTTTCACCAGGTGAAGGATGTGTTAGAGCAGGCAGATTCCTGAGAATTGTTCACTCCCATTAAAATGTTTTTTCTTATATTCAACTACAGCTTTCCTCTTGCTGTTCAGCCTTTAGGGTCAGATTTATGGCAGCTTTAAAAAATAGTTTTCTTTACAAAAGGATTTCCCACTTGATATAAAATCCCTCTAAAATACATTATTATACCCGACACAAGATTAAAGGGATCATAGAATGCAAAACCGAATTTACATTGTCATAGATGAATAACGATAGTTCAGTGGGTGAATGGATGTATAGAGAAGTTCATACCAAATCGACACCTCCTTTCTCTGCAAAGCCAACAATTCCAAACTTCCACCATAAAACGGGCAAATTTAAAGGGAGCCCCCAGTTGACGTAAACTTGGGGATGTTGCCTTATTTGGTTTCGGCCTGTAGTTTTGTCACGCCCCGGGAGAGCGGCTATGAAGAGTCGACTGCTGGGCCGCTGACTGGACCGGACCTCACCAGAGAGCCATGAGCCGCCCGTCCTCAGCCGGCTACTGTAACAGGGTTGAGTCGCTCCGTCCCCCGCTGGCTCCCTGCACCGGACCAGCCCCGGAGCTGATAGCTCGGTTCTGCTGCACTGTAGTCGACCAAAATCCTGAACGATTTTGAAATTCCCCCTGCACATTTTTTTATGTATGAAAAGTAGGACATGTCCGGGAAAAAGAGGACGTCTGGTCACCCTACCATATCAACAATTTGATGTTTCAGTGAGTGAGTGCTTGTTGCTATGATGAGTCTTTACTCAGCAGCTTTGCTCGTTGTAAACCAACCAATCAGAGCACAGCTCATCTAAATATTCATGAGCATACCATAAAAGGAAGAAAACTTGTCGTTTCATTCTAGTGCTTTTAACCAGGCTTGAATTAGGGCTCATAGAGCAGCAAATATGCCATTTACAGCCCAACCAATGTTACACACCCTATTCAGAAACCTTAAGGAACAGGACCAAATGCCCTATAGAATCATTCTATCACCCCTTTAAGAGAAAAACACACATTTTTCACCTTTTTTTGTAAAAGTAGATCAAGCATGGTCAATTTTACCCTAAATCTCTTACAGGATGCTTTAAAAGGTCTAATTGAGTATCGTCTTTTTGCCTCCTCACATGCTGATCTTTGTGACGTGCTCTCGCTTTGCTAGTTTTCTCATGCTTCACATCCCACCTCCAGTGTTGAGTGAGCAGATTTAGACTTACAGGTAATGAATCAACAGTGTAATGTAAATTCCTTTGTTTGCCAAGTTGGTGTCCTCAAACGATGCAGACAGACGCTAAACAGTGCTGTGCACAGTGTCATTCTGGGCTCGCACATGCTCTCACATTTAATAGGCATTCTCAGAAAAGCAGGTAGGAAGGTCCGGTTCAAACTGACTTGGGCGTTTCTTACCTACATTTCCAGAGAAATCGTTCACTATACCTGTAAAATGAGTTCCTGAAATTGTTTTTTCACTTATACTGTTGGATTTACAGCACTTTGAAGAAAAGAAGTAGCAGAAAGAAATTACTTTAGTTTATGGACTTCTCTAGAAACACTTGATCTACAGAGTAAATGTTGTGAGCTAAAGTGCTCCTATAGGCAGGAGTCTTAAGGGCTGGTTATACTCCCGCAGCAGTGTGTCGCAGGTATGATGCAGATACTTTTGATTTATGCCCAATTTTGAAGCGTGCTCTGCACTAAGTTATTCCACGCCACAACGCAAGAGGGACAGTCACGAACTAGCTGTGCATCTAGAAACAGCCGAGGCGGTGAGGAAGTGGAAAATTGCAAGGGGCAAGTTTGTGCGACTACGGAGGGACATGAGGCTAAAAAAAAGCAGGGATCCAGGTGGGAAAAGGGTCCAGGCGTTCCCGTACAAAAATCGCTCTTCTAGCTGGTCCAACTTCACGACTCGTTTTCCACAATGACGTTCATACAAACAAAACAAGCCGCTAAGATACCATACAGGAAATATTCATAGTGTAGAGCGGATGTAGATTTGACCAATCAGAGGCCTCCTGACCGAGTGTCTGTGCAGATGCAGACGACCTGGTTTCTGAGCATAAATCAGCCTTTAGATGGGAAACGTTTCTTCTATACGAGAACCTCTTATGAGGTAAAGCAAAAATACATAAATATTTTGGCACTTAATTTGGCTAGAAATTATAGAAAGGAATACTGAAACCTGTGTGGATCAATTAGCTTTAAGTGATTCATTCTCAATTTGCTGCAATTATGGTAGAGATGTTTTTAAAAATATATACTCTAAACCGTTTTTTCTAGGTTGTAAATGGAAGTCTTTTTTTTGTTAGAAAAACTTTAGAAAAGAAAGAAAATAATGTTTTTTTTTCTCTTTAGTTGCAAATTAGTCAGACATGTTGAGAGCTGAAATGGTGGTTCTGCTTGAATGCATTACCTTTACACCAGAAACAAAAGGTTGCAAACAGACCTGATAATTGTGGAGCTTTACTAAATTTATATCAGCTGTGTATTTGCAGGCAGAAACCCTCTGGGTTATATGGTTTTGGTTTTCAGACCAAATAAAAAAAGGAAAAAAAAGTTGAAGAAGTAATAAAGCTTTTTTTAAGAACTGTATCGAGGTAAACCTTTTTCCTCCCAGTATCTGTCATTTTCTCAAACAACTCATTGCAGATGATTTCCACATAACATTTAAAAAGTTCCGTTTTCCAAAAAAAAAAAAAAGAACAGAAAATTCTGACATTTAACGTGATAAACAGAATTTGATGAGTATCTCCTTGACATTTCAACATGTTTTACTTTCTCTGTCATACGAGAAGGTCACTTGGTGCTTTATGCGTAGCTAGTGTTGTAAAGGACCCTCATGTTGGACTGATAACCAGGCTGTCTGTGACATCACGGCTTGCACCTCGATTAAACACTCTTCTCTCCATCAATCTCTCAGGTCCGAGTCTACGTCAACAATCCTGAAACTGAATCTCACGATAAAGACTTAGACGCCCTCCGTTTCATCTCCACCAACTCCATCGTCGATCCTTGGGTCTTCATCCTTCTCTCCCCCAGTGTGCTGTACTTCTTCTGCTTGCCTGTCTGCAAGAAGCCGCTGGGAAGACTCAGAGGCTCTGTGAGCGAATCACTGGCCAAAAAGGACCACATAGCACCGGTAGAACTGTGTCAGCCGACCTTAACAACAAACTGTCCTAACACTGAGGGAGATGTATGACCATAGCTGTGTTATTAGTTCCTTTGTATTTATATTTATTAGACAGTTCAAAATGTGCAACTCTGCCTGTGAGATTCTCACAAGCTGGAGATGTTTGTTGGACTGCAACAATTTTCCTGTGTTTATTTTCAGGGCGTTTTCATTTCATTAAGGCTATTTCCCTTCAACTGATAAGCCAGAATAGCTCCATCAGCTAGTTGAAAGCCTACACAACTCACCTCATGGTTTATGCCTTCATCAGATTATTACGATAGGATGAAAAAAGGACTCTTATAAATCTGTAATGCAAAGGCATTAGTTGTGCTTGTAATTTACTACCAGTGAGAAGCCTGCTGATATAAGTAAAAGGGATCTCAGCTGACAGGGAGATGATAAAGATGGTCTTGGAAAGCTATGCGTCTGCAGAGGCCATAAGAAACACAGATGTTGCTACTGAAACAAGTTGTAAATCACATCAAGTGATAAGAAATATGAGGCCGTTTTTATTTGTCACTTCGCAAATAAAGATTTCTGTCAATGGGATAGACTGACACAAATAATGCATAATTAAAATGGGGGGGGGAAGCATCCCCATAGCATGTGCTGCCATTACCATGCTTATCTGAAGAGGGTTTTCAACCAAACATCACACCCAGAACATTATTTGTTTTTTAGGATAAATCACTAAGAGGTAATTCCATCTAAATCGGCTGTTATATAAAAAGATTTATTGCTCTGGAAATGATTATTTGAATGAGCTCTAAATTTACTGTACTATTACTTTGACGCATACTGATACCCTGGCACATGTCATCCAGAAAAAATCTGGGGATGTTTTGGTGTCCAAACCTTGCCTCAGGAATTTAGTGAAACTTAATACAGAATCTCGGCGTTGCTTTTTTTTTTTATTCTGTGGCATTAATCTATTTAATGAAACTTTTGAGTTCCATTATGGTTAGACTCGAAAGTTTTTAAAAAGTCGAGCAGTTGTGGTTCTCGCAGGGCGAGATCACTTGTGTGGCACATTACAGCAACAAAACAATTCGTTGTGTTTCACATGATTAAAAAGTCAGAAAAGAAGTACACTGCTTACAGACTAAATATTTAAACAAGTCTAAATAGAACATTTTTACTTTGATTTTAGGAACTCAGGGTTTTACAATTTTTGCAGTATTCGGCAGGTCTGGTTCAGATTAGTGTAGCATGAAAATTAAATGTTGCCGTGGTCTAGAAGGTCGATAAGACAAAAAATCTTTAATACATTTTGGTTTTGGGCCATTCAGTGATTTATAAAACAGAAGTACCTTTAAAGCCCAAGATGGCTGTGAAGGTTTTCTAGAACCACAGACTATAAACATTTAGTAGCAGTAGTTTGATATTGTCAAATTTGTAAAGTATGTTTGTGATCAACTAGTTTAGTCCGAAAAACTTCAGCACTTATTCTGCTTAATAAATGACTCCCTTTTGCTGGGGTTGTATCAGTTAAGAGTAGACTGTCTTAGAGATAGACTAATATGTCGGCCGGCCGATTTTAGTTGTCTTTTTTTCTTGTACCTGCTGATGCATGTATTTATTGGTATGTTTTCATTAGCAGCCAAGGCTTAAGATCGTGTGGAGTGCAAGCATTGCTGCTCCCCTGCATTCCTATGGAGCTAAATTAAGGCCATCTTTGTTTGAAATGAAAATAAATAAATTGTACCTGAAAAAATTGGAAACTTTAAAAAATATTTTTCCAAATGGAAAGGAAAGATTTATATTAAAACTTTAAAAAAAATTGGAAACTGAAAAAGATTGAAAACTGTATAAATTTAAAAAAAAAAAAGAAACTGAAGTATTTCTTTTTCTCAAAACCAATCGTATTAACACAAATTATCAATTATGCCTAAAGACATAATTGATGCAACAGCTGGGAAGTCATTTCATTCATTTTCTTCTAAGCACAATCCCCAACAAAAGGGAATAGCAGATTAAAATAAAAAAATATATACATCTAAAATGTAAAAAAAATTATCTATAACCTCATAAGCAGCGTCAAACATTTTCAGTCTCTTTTTGCAGTTTTCTATCTTTTTTTATAAAAAAAAAAAAAAAGTTTCACTTTAAAAAAAGAAAAACTTAAACTAAGTTCACCATTCGTTTTAATTAGGACTATGTTTGTGCTATATCACATCATGTAAATTGAGGAAGAAGAATTAACATCGACTGAAGAATTGGCCTTAAAATGACAGGACATATCAGCAGTTGCTAAGAGTGATGCCAAAATAATCAGTATCTGCCTTAAAAAAAACTCTATCGGTTAGTTCCTAGTTAGTGTTTTACCTGCAGCGCATATTGATTGTACCTCAACCTACCTCGCCTCCTAAAATATGACAAAATTACACAATACTCCTTACAGACAGACCTTAAAACGGGTTTATCGTTGACTAAATCAACATGGTTGTTTTTTTTTCCTAGAGGATGGAAAGCTCAAAAGCATAAAATATCTTTGTGAACTCCATTAAGCCTTCCTGTTATCTGCTAAAGCCTGCTCTCTCACCGTCTCTTGCCTGAATAACAGGCATGTCGCAGAAAATTAGGCCACCAAATTAGCAAATTTTCCCCATTAAAGCTAAAAATCTGCCAAATTATACCATCAATTCTTCTAGAACTAAATGTTTATCATTTTGACCCAACATCTTTCTTTACTTTATAATAACAGCTAATAAGACCAATGGAAAATAAGCACTTTAATCCAAAACACCATTCAAACTGCTTTAGGAACGTCAACTCTCGGTAATAATAAACAGTGAAGCTTGTTAATAACAGTTAATTAAGAGGGATGTCACCTTCAAGGGAAATCCAACTCTGCCAAGTCTTATGAAAACATTAAACGTGGCAGATTTCCAGAGGGATCCCGTACAAAAATCACAATCACTTCTTGAAACTGCATCCAGTTTAAATATGAGCCTGAGGTTTGGTAACAGAATACCCAACAACAGAGTTTTGTTGAAGTTTTCTGTCATGAATATGTTAGAGAGGGAGAAAAAAAAGCAAACAAAAACACATGAGGTAGGGTTACAGCCTGCAGTCAAAATCAGAATAATGTGAAAGCAGTTTTTTAGGAATGGCAGTAAATTGGCTAAATTGGAAAAAGGCACACGAGGAATGGGAGGACTTTGGAATTTTATGTCGTTTTTTTTTTATGCTTAAACAGTACTTTATCATTTCTGTTGATAAGCTCTGAGTTAAAGGTTCAGTGTTTACTAAAGTGACCAGCTACTTCCTGTCTGCAGCATAGATGATCTTCGCTATAAGTGTCAGTAATTCTGTGAAAGTTTGTGTATTTATGCTTGTGTCAATATGGCTATACTTATGTGTGTGTTAAAGTATATTTGAGACAAACAGCAGTTGTTAAGTGAATATTGTCAGACCTTAATGCTGCCTATCTGGATGTCGTGTACTGTGAGATGAAAAAAATGAATGCACTGAGCACACAAGCATGTATGGATTAGTTTTATGGCTTGTGTAAATAAACATCTCATCTGCAAAATATTCTGTCTAACCTGCTTAGTAACCCGGGGTAAGGACACTCACACACACGCGTGTCATTGTTTTCCCATTTCTGATGTAATGCACCCTACCCAACTTTGGTTCTTTAACTTAAACATTTGTTGTTTTTTTTTAAATCAACAATCCAAAAAATATTGAATTAGTGGAAATCCCCCACATTACTGTCAGTAAACCTTTTAATTTAACCCACAAATGTATAAAAGGCAAGAAAGTCAAACGTCTTTGAAGATGGGTCCCAGATGCGAAGGAAAAAGTTGAATCTTCCAAATAAACCTTTTTTTTTTTTTTACAGTTTCCACTCAATTTTGGGGAATGTTTCATGATTTGGATGTTTTTGTTCAGGAATGTTTCATCGCTGAGAACAACAAAGCATAATTTTTATTTTTTTTTTATCACAAAATATTCAACCAAACATTTCTCAGGTTTTGCTTTACAAAAAAAACTTCTCTAATATTTAAAATTTGATTTGACAGGTAATTTATGGACATTTCCCTGACATTAACACACTTTAAACTTTCCAATCTTTTGTAGCTCATAGGTAAAGCAAAAAAAGATATTTTTGTTTGTTGTTTTTTTACAACTAATTTGCTCTCTACTCAGATTAGAGATGCATCAACCCCTGATTTGCTATCTGCTCCGATACTTACTAATCAGCTGGATCAGATATGGGATGAATCTAGCCATTTCTATTCGTAACAAAATCACACACAGAAATACAGTTACTTCCATTTTATGATTGTAATGCAGCAAACACACAGCAACTAATTTAAATCTGTGTTCATTTTTCACCTTTTTTTTTTTCATTTTTATGTCAGGCATGATGCCTTCACTAACAAGGTGAGGCATACGTTTAAATTATTTAACGGTGGTATTGGATCGGTATCGGAAATCGGCCAATATGCTCAGCTTTCCCGTCAGAAAAATAAAGTATTGGTGCATCTCTTAGTAAACAAACAAGGAAAAAAGAAATAAAACCGTAACTAGTAAGGTCTTCTATTTGCATGTTTTTAATTGTTTTTGAAACATGGATTTATTTGCATATTTTCAGTGTTCTGGGCAGTTTATTCCAAGAGAAGGGCTCCTGCTCGGTATTAAAAACCAGCCGAGAAGCAGTTCCTTGAGCAGGGAGTTGTTTTTTTAAAGCGGTAGGTGAGGAGGTGAAACTGTTGCCCCTTCCTTCCCTGAGGCTCGACGGTTGACTGACATGAGCAGCAGCACTACAAAAACAGTCAGGAAGCAGAGGCAGCAGTGGTGTAGAGAAGGAGGAAGCTTGTAGCATTAGGTGGAGGAAGGTGCTTTCCCATGAATACAGGAGGCTTCGTTTTAAATCTCCTCTGATAAGTTATAGTTGCTCAAGAGGTTTGTGCTCTAAAGGGAGATCTGGAATCATTGAGTCAGAGTAAACAGCCTTCATTAATAAAGCAGATCTTCAAGGTAATAAAAACAGAACCAGTATTCCTTAAGCTATTTCGTGCAACCAGGGGAAACGATTAATTTGCAGGTAAATTTTAGTCATTCCTAATCTTTTACTGGTAAATTTGACCTTATTCAATTTATATAAGAGTATAACCCAGGATTCCAGGTAATACATAGATATGAATATGTATAGAGAGATATAAAAAAATAAAATATTATGAAAATGTGTGTGTTTTACCAAATAGGTCTACATGGCTTTGAAGTATTCTTACTGTTTAATTACATTGGCAGGGGTTGACGTTAAGGATTTTTATAGGGATGCACGATATTGGGATTTTGGCCGATATCCAATATGCTGATATTTTAAAACTCATTTGGCCGATAACCGATATCGATACCGATGTTAAAGCTGGACAAAAATAAGTAGTCATTGAAAATAGCAGTTTTGTTATCCATTTTGACACTTTGAAAAATAATATACTAAAATATATTTTGATATGCTGATATCAAATTGATTTTTAAAAACGCGGTATTGATCTATTTTACTTTTTAAAATCTCGTGAAATTTCATCGTTTTGTTACAAACTCTTGTGATATTTTGCAAATTCTTGTGAGATTTTGTTAGTAAAATAGATCGATACCGCATCAATATATCAACATATAAAAATAAGGCAAAATTTCGTTAGTTTTCGGGGGATTTCGTAGCATAACGATGACATATAGCAATATTTCATTAGTAAAAGAGATTGATATGGTGTTTTTAAATGGCAATATACTGTATCAGCATATGAAGATATTGTGATATTTTAATGTATTATTATTTTTTCCCTCGTCTTTAGAAGTTTTTAAGTCTGTAAAAAATAAGTTTTTGAGGAAGAAGAAGAAGCAGTATTTTTTATTTTATTTTTTAGACTTTAGAAACTCAGAAGCTGATCAAATATCGGGTTAAATATCGGAGGGGTGACCGATGTCCGATATTCAGTTTTAAGGCCGATACCGATAGGGGGCCGATTATATCGTGCATCCCTAGATTTTTACTACTTGCCCTTTGGGCAAGTGACTTTCACATTTCATTTGCCCAGAAACAATTTTTACTTGCACAGTATAATGTTTGATAAATATAGTTCCTAATATTCATTTTTGTATATATACCCGGTATCAATGAAACATGTTTGTTTTTTAAATATTTTTTATTCAGTTTAAAGTTTAAAGGTTCCTGGTGTGTATCTGCATGCGTCAGATAATGAACTCCAGCCTACATTACCGTGTTAACATGCTTTTCAATCCTTCCTGCATATTCTTTTCAAACTAAACTTTGCTTTAAACTGTTGTGTGCTTGGAAAAATATAAATTGTAATGTTAAAAATCTAAAAAAAAAAACTTGACAGGTTAAAAACTTAAGACAATGCTTTTGGGTCGTTTTCTTCGAATGTAGATGATTTTTGAGTGATTATGCGAATAAAATGATACAGAAACACAGGTACAATAGCGCTTTCTAGCTTGTTTGTCGTTTTGGTAACTACATCAAAATTACCGCTAGGTGGACAAAAATCACGCCATCTGGCGGAAAATCACGCAGCTTTTTCAAATCACGCGAGAATGTGTACAAAACAACAAAAATGGCGCCGGCAACGCTTCTGGGTCGTTCTCATCAAAGGCAGGTGATTTTAAGGTAATTTTGAGTGATAAATAAAAATTTTTTGCTT